GATATACTATCCATTCCACGTTGATTTCCTATGCACCGATAACTGGACGGAGCTATCGCTGCGGCGTCTCATGAGTAAATTTATTCAGGAGAAAAATATCGATGTGAGAATTCCATTGGATGAGCTGAAACAATTGTTATTCGTGTGCACGCATTACATACGGTTTCAACTCAATGGTGAATTATATCGCCCGAAGGATGGGGTTGCAATGGGGTCACCTTTAGGACCACTATCCGCCGACACATTTATGGCAAAACTTGAGAACGATCCCCTGGAGCCTCATATCAGACAATGTACCCTGTACAGACGATATGTCGATGATATATGATGTATAACATATTCAAATGCGGACACCAATCGGTTGCTTGAAGAATTCAGTAATGCCCATCAGAACGTGAACTTCACTTTAGAAAAAGAAAAGGAGAATAGTCTAGCGTTTCCAGACGTACTCATGAGACGCCGCAGCGATAGCTCCGTCCAGTTATCGGTGCATAGGAAATCAACGTGGAATGGGCAGTATATCCCTTTCCATAGTTTTGTCCCTCTTCAGAGAAAGAGAAATATAATTCGCTCTTGAAGTGAACAGTGATGCAACTATTTTCCTATACAACTATTTTCAGGTTGATATCGTTTGTAATTTCATCACGTACGCCGTGTGTTTCGTGAGTTTAGCAACTACTGTTCGGTGAAGACGACCTTACTGTCGTTCATTAGCACTTTGCCTCGGCGCAACTGGATCCGATGGCAAAGCATGACCACAAATCAACAACTCATTCGATCACCAATTCGTTTACTCACCTGTTGAAGAAGATTCGACCGATTTGTTTTAACCCTATTCACAGGTCTTAGATGGACTCGACAAGCGGCGACAAAGGGTATCCGGCCTGATTGAAGACTTCAGGTCTGAGTCTTCGGAAAAACCCGTAAAATTCTAGTTTCTCAATGTCCTAAGGATTTTTGATTGTGCTTTCCGTTGAACACAATTATCGCTTAATGCAAGTGAAAATAAGTCATAGCAGTTTGTTTCCCAGATTTTCAACACACCCGGTGCAGTTGCTAATATCGCACCTATCTAAAGGTGTCATCCAGCTAAAAGTGTCACTGACTCGGAAAACACAAATAACCTTCCCAATATGGCCGCCCCATCATAATGGGTAGAATCTCACAATCGTATGTTGAAAATGACCCAGATGGATTGCGGTGATTAACGCTTTTCGGTCGCAAATATCTCATGACAGAGCAAGACTTGTTCGAAAGCTAAGGTTCTGATTCAGCGTATCTGTTTTTGGCATATACTTGCGTGCGTAAGATAAGAGTAAAATGAGGTTAGGTGGTTTTCGACTGACGGAGTAAAAGTATGTATATACACGCACACAGCTTAGTGCAAGTCACTTACGTTGACGCTGAAGGACAGGTACACAGTCATCTACGCCCAAATAATGAAGAGCGTGATTGATTCCTGTGACGTTGGAAATCCACTTTGATGCCTATATGGTCTCTCTCTCACAATAAGATCGGCCTTACTATTGTTCCATTATTGTGTGCTGCAATAAATTTCTCATCGTGAACTGATTGAGGAACAAACTTGCGCTAAAAGGCGCTCTGCTGAACGCAAT